TGATAGAACCGCAATAACAGACAAAATCTCCTGAACGATCAACTCTGTTTGGGTTTCTAATCACAGACGACTGTTAAACTCAACACAGTCAGAACAGACTCAGTAAATATGTTTTTACCCCCTAATTTCATTGAATAAACACAGGATGAGGTATTTATGGCATTATTTTGTGTGTTCTGTGGACTGTTTTGAAAATGCAGGTAAAAAGATAATAATTACATGATCGTATTCACAGGGTTTACCCAGCTACACAGCAAACAAGCGTTCTTACCGTTCTTATTAACTAAATTAGTAATTAAGCTGTATATATAAAGTCATCTACAAACATATTATTTCAGTTTACATTGATTTTGAGTATTAAAAATATCTGAAATATTAAATATGCAACTCAGTTTGTAATCTAAACTAAAGCCTGTCTTGCTGTGTATCAGTTTTAGGACTGAATCCAAGAGGACAGAAAATCAATAAAAAAACATGGTTGCTTTATTCTAATTGTTTATTTTTACTCATAATAACCAACAGAATAAATCAACATCACAATTCTTGCACTTTCAGCTCACAGACACTCCAGACTAACCATTTCTGAAAAGCTCTCTGAGGTGCAACTTGTTATTAAGACCTCTATAACCAAATAATTACAAAAGTTAGCAGGCGCTAGGAACATCTTTGATCAGAAATGATCCAAATTCATAAAGATATCAAATTTCTGTTAGTATTTACATGTCAAACAATGGCAGATCTGTGACGCCCACAGTCTCCTGAAAATAACAACATACGGCATGTAAATACTTTATAATTGCGATTGTAATTGACCCAAATACCAAAAAATTACCCCAAATTACCACAGGGCTCTTAGGGTTAAGCATGAAATGGTTCAATACAGAACCATTGCCTTTACTAAAGAACCCATGCAGAACCATCTTTTTTAAGAGTGTAGAAACTCAACGGACCTAAAGCTCTTTTTGTAGTAAGAGGTGGTCCTGAGGGGGTTGGATATTTAGCCAAGCAGCATTTTTTAGTTTTAGTTTGTTTTTTTGAAACACCTGCAGACAAATAATGAATTTTGACTTTGAAACTCGATTGAAAAAACATATCAGTTTTCAATAAAAATACTGTCTCAAACTCTCTGTCTGAGTGTCATTTGTATTACAGATGAGTCTGATGGCTTTTGAGGGGGTTGAATACTTTTACTTGTGCAAGGCACTGTATAAATATCCCTTCTAATAAGTGAATTCAGCTATTTTAAGGTCCCCCATTCCTGACGTAGCCAGTATAGTATCTATAGAAAAGCACTGACCAATAGAATGGGACACTCTGGAGCAGCCAGGCATGAGCCTAAGGTCTCATGTCCAATGCCAAGCGTGGGCTTGAGGGGTATAAAGCCCCCCAGCATTGGGCTGTGGAGCAGTGGAACTGTGTTCTCTGGAGTGATGGAGCTCCATCCAGTACCTTTGGGATGAGTTGGAGTGATCCAGAACTGACCATCCAACATCAGTACCTGACCTCACTAATGCTCAATCAAATCCTCACAGCAATGTTCAGCATCTAGTGCAAAGTCTAGAGGCTGTCACTGCACTGCTGGGCCGAAGCTGAAACTCCCTGACCCCTCGCTGACCCCTTGTGCGCATTACTGTCACAGCATGTTCTGCAATCACAGGGCGGCTGATTACCCACAGAGACGGGCATTAAAGAGAACACACCCCTGACACCGCCCACTCTGCTGCCCGCTATATTGCATCGTGCCGGAGGCACAGACACATCCAACTACAGCACAAACAAAATGCATATTCATTTAAAGGGCCCATATCATGAAATCTGTCCTCAGGTTTTCCAACTTTCTTCATATTGTTCACTTTCCAGTTCATACAAGCTCTAAAAACCCCACATTCTGAATTCATTTTTTCTGTGATGTCACAAAAACCAATATACGCTTACATATATCTGCCTATTCAGCCTACAGCAGTTTAGCCCCGCCCACTCAGACTGAAGTTATAAGGAGTGTTCCAGGCTGAACTGCTTTTTGAATGCAGCGTATTGCTGCACAGCCAATCAAAACAGAGCTCATTTACATATATCAGTCTGAAAGGTGCAGCAACAAGAACAGCCTAACAGATAAAGAGAGGCTTGAAAACAGCCATGTAAAAATAAATTATGCCTAATAAAATACAAGAAAAGTGCAGGAAATGGGCCCTTTAAAATGATTATTACATAATTACCAAAACAACAAAATAATCAGTCCTGCATCTGCTGGCATTTACTGATCAATAATTTATTCATTCGGACACGTTCATCTTACGTCATCACAACACCTGCACGCACAACAGAAACCATGTTAAAAATGAAAAAATCGAGCGTTTGTTTACGAACGACAGCTTTCTAGTGAAATAAATATCAGCCTATTATAAAGCACTGCAATTAAACACACACAATATACACACATAAGCTCACACGATGGTAACGTTTGGCCTCTTTGATCTGTTTTTATGAAGCATTTGAGGTCGAGGCAACTTGAAATGAAAAGAAAGAAAAGGAAAAAAATGGGAAAATTATTAGTCATTGAAAAATCGAAGTAAAAAAAGGTCGTAAAATCGGCCCAAAAGACTGATGGCCGTGGAGTACATGCGTCCTATTCAGGCCCTTTGATGTGCTTGACCTTCGACCTTTGGCAGGCACTAAAGTTCTTTCAGGCAGAGAACTTGTAGAGAGGATAATTACACTCTGTAATGTCTTCCGGGTTTCTCCAACACTAGAGGGCGCTCCCGAGTGAGTCCAAAATGAATGGGTTAATATGGAGAATTTGAGCTTACACTGCTGTTATGTTTTTAAGATCTTTTAAACTCGAGTTATAGGAGTTTAAAACAGCGCCTCACATACATTCATGACATCTGTGAGCGCAAACAGCCAATGAGCTGCTCCGCTCACCAACCAATCAGCACTCAGTAGCAGTAATGTCAGCGTCCTGCTGCCCGAAACCTGTTTACTGTAGTAAAGCAAACATACAGGTGAGATTTCTTTGATTTTTTAGTGAAATCCATCCTTCTACTCTCTAAAATTAAAGGAAAGTTCTGGTTCAGTGATTAGAAACTATTTTAACTTTTCGTTTTTAGCCATTTAGCTCCATTTACTCCCTTTCATCGAGGACTTGCTCGCTGGCGCCCTCTGGTGTTTCACTGTCATGTTTTTGATATAACGGGGGAAATAGGAAGAGGCGAGGATCCTCATAAACTGGCTCTGTTTCAGGCAGACCGTCTGCTCCAATAGCTCATTTGAAGTCCAAGTGAAGATTACAGAAGTTTCCTTCATGGTTCCTCATGTTTGGTCCCTGTTCAGTGCATGTAAAAGTCACCTGGCCATGCTATTCAGCCAATGATCAAAGGGACACTTCACCTTCTTGTGAACCTCATCTCTGTCTACTGAACATATAGTAAGTGATTGATTAGCATGGTGTTATGACCCTTAGGCTGTTTTTGCTGCCTTGCCCTCTTGTCTTTCTCTTTTTCATGTTCCACCTATCCTTTTACTAGGACCTGCCCTTGGAGACTTCTGATTGGCCCGTGCTATAAAAGGGCCTGGGGAAGATGGTGGTCAGCTGCTTCGGTTGTTGTGTCTGTGCCATCCGCCCTCCCACTGACCAGATCAAACCCAGCATTTTGGTTCAGCTTGTCTTATTCAGCCCTTGATGTTTCTTGTAATGAATCATGTAACTCTTCACTGTTGATGGAACAAAATCTTGTTATCTCCAAAATGGCAACTTTACAGGAGAAGGACAAAACCGACTTTACTTTTAATGTAAGTCAATGGAACCAGACTTTTTTCCAAGGCATTTTGGGCCGTTTCTGTTTGTCTGTTCACCATGAAATTTACACACAATGTAAAGGGCAGCAGGCATTTTCAAATTGTCTCAAAAACTGAAAACGTCTGGGGTGAGCGCCCTGCGAATGTCTTCTCCTGGTTTGGTTTAGCATAGTTGTTTGTATTTTTCATTTCATTTGGTTTTGCTTTTAGCTCGTTTTGGGCATGAGCTCTCCCCTGAAGTCATTTATCTCCTTTTATTATACACTGTTAGTAATAAAAGCTCTGTTCAGGTACATTTGACGTTCATCAAGGTACAAACAGTGTAAATGTTCCCTCAAAGCTCCAACAGTGGTTTTAAGGTCTGATTGTGATCCTTAAATAAGTTTTTCCAGGTGAAAAGTTCGTATTTGTACCTTTTCATAACCGAATGTTTTAAACAGAACAGTAAAATAAAAGCCTGGAGACGAGACGGGGTGTGTGGAGTCAGTACAGCTTAGAACATATCATTTCAGTGGATTATGGTTCAGTTATGATCCCTGACTAAAGGTACTGAGATGAACCCTTGAGGGAACCACCCCAGTGACAGGAGGGGAACTGACCCAGAGACAGTTTAGTACCTTTATTTCTGAGAGTGTATCTTACTATATTACATCTAGTAGACGGCTAATGTAAACAACTTTATCTCTTTATTCCTGTCTTACTATGTTGTCTTTGAATAGCAATTCGGGTCTGGTTGACAAAAGAAGTAAATGTTGATATTTTGCCATCTTATCTGGATTCATGGTGGTTTGGTCTGGTGGTTGGGTTGGCGCTTGGCCTTTTTATTTATGTACAACCACTCTTAAAATCCCCTGCGAAGTCGAACAATGGACAATAATTTTGATATACAGTGGGGTGCAAAAGTCTGAGACTTGAGTCCAGTCTATTTTGCATCCCTTTCTTATTTAATTCTTCTTATTTAGAAACTGAAATACTGATCGTTGGTACTAAAACTCAAAGAAAGCTGTTTTATGAGAAGTTCAGCTCTTTAGCTTTATACCAAACCTGAAATAGGACAAAGATGAAGCAGCTGCCCATTGACTGCCATTATAAGTGAGTTTCAAGCCCGTTTTCCGCTCTTTTTGTAAGTTCAGGGAAATGTGCTGAAATCATTGTTTGTGGTAAACATTTATATGATGTAGACGCAAAACACTGAAGTGTCCCTCTAAACTCAGTCTCAGGGCCTGTACAAACTCAAACCTGTGCAGCACAGCAGCTCTCCAGGACCAGAACCGCTCTACATCTCACACTCGCTGTCGCTGGAGGTGATGGAGACAGCGCAGGAGGCCTCGGAGGCTTTCTTTGACTCTTCCAGGCCGGACGAAACACTCAGAGCGTCTACAGGTCCTTCATCGTCCACCAGAAGAGACTGGACTGAGCCAGCGGACAAAACCTGCTGCTGTATCCTGCAGGAGAACGAGCGTAACACATTTCAGGAGATTATGGAAAAAGAGCCCACCCTGCAGTGTGGAAACGGTACTGCTTCATTAACTAAGATGTAAAGCAGAGCAACAAGTTCAAATATTAATGTTATTCTCACTTTAATGGGGCCTTTCAGAACCTTTCAGCTCATGGGTCTACTAATTAAAGGGGAACTCCATCAATTTTTGAAAATTTCTGTATAATTAAATGGTTAAACAGAGTCATTCAAAGTGGTTTGGTGTGAAACGTTCCATTCTAGAGAAACTTACAGAGTCAGAGCTGTTCACAGTGGTGGTGATAGGAACCAGACGTCCACCTCTAAAAGCTCCCTCACAGAAAGTTACTACAGGAAATTTTAACCATCATCAACATTCCATATAAGCTCAGAAGACTCGTGTAGGTTCACTGGAGGTGAAGTCATGTTGTAGTCATGGCGACCCCTGGTTCCTATCACCACCACTGTAAAGACATCTGAACCATTTCACACCAAACCACTCTGAATCTCTCTGTTTACACCTCACACACTGAGTTACGGAGGAATTTTGAAAAGATACTGGAATTCCCCTTTGGCTCATTTTCATGTCTTAGCATTACATCTACACTTATAAAAAAGATGGTTCTTCAAGGGTTCTTTAGTAAAGACAATAGTTCTATATAGAAAAAGAAATGCTCAAAGAATCGTTTGCATTCTTCAATGGTTCTTCAGTTTGATGAAGAATGTGTTGCATATGGTTCTATATATCACCAAAAAGGGTTGTTGATACAACATAAAGCTTAACAGCAGCAGAACCCTATTTGGTGCTATATAAAACCAATTTCAAAAAGGTTCTATATAAAACCTTTTTAAAAATGGTTCTGTATAGCTTCAAAAAGGGTTCTGCTATTGTTGCATTGTAAACCTTATAACATATAACAGTAGAACGATTTTGATTGCTATATGGAACCATTTTCAAAAAGGTTTAATAAAGAACCATCTATAGCACAACTCAATCTGAAGAACCAAATCACGATGCAAGGAACCCTTTAATTACACAAAAGGTTCTTTGAGTGTTCAAGGTTCTACATAGAAACATTTTACTAAAGAACTAAGAAAAAATCATCTTTTTTTTCTAAATAGCACCAAAAAGTGGTTCTGCTGTTGTTATAATATCAACGTTTGTAACAATAGCAGAACCCTTTTTGGTGCTCTATAAAACCATGTACAACACATTCTCCAACAATCTGAAGAACAATTTCACCATGCAAAGCACCTTTTAAGCATGAAATGGTTCTATATAGACCTCATGGTTCTAAATAGAATCTCTTTACTAAAGAACCCTTGAAGAACCATATTTTTAAGAGTGTCCTTTGCGAGAATGTGAATATTTAGTAAACGATGTTTGATCATCCCTCACTCAGTCCAAACTCAGAAAAGAAGCTGAATGCAAGTGGTTCTTTGAGTGTTAATGGTTCTATGTAGAACAATTGTCTTTAGTAAAGAACCCTTGAAGAACCATCTTTTTCTCTACACACAAACACATAAACACAAACACAGACATAGATCAATGCTGTGGCTGTAATCAGCTGGACTGAAGGCCTCTGATTAACATTGATGTACTGCAGCTCTGTCTACAGTGTTTACAGTGTCTACAGTGTTTACGGTGAGAACACAGTAAAAGTTCTAAAACGAGGGGAACCGGGATTATAATCCCAAACTGACAGTTGGCCCAACAGACTCTGAGGCTCCTGCTGGGAGTGGATAATCTGACACAGCTGAGATTAGGATTAATACTGTATTAATGCTGGACGGGATACGAGTGGAAACGTCTGTCATGGTTTCATCATCACACCTTCACACTGGAACACACGGAGAACCGCACCGTACAGCGACCTGTCCTCCTCAGTCCAAACGCCCACTACACCGCACATCTTATTCCCACACTCTCAAAAACGATGGTTCTTCAAGGCTTGTTTAGTAAAGAGAATGGTTCTATTTAGAACCATGAGTTCTATATAGAACCTATAGAACCATTTGCATGTTTACACCAAAAGGGGTTTTCTATTATTACGAGTTTGACATTATAAACAATAGCAAACCTTTTCTGGTGTTATATAGAATCCTTTTCAAAAAGGTTCTGCACTCTTAAAAAAGGTTCTTTAGTAAAGAAAATGGTTGAACAGTCAAAGAACCCCTTTTATGATGTTCTTTGCATCTTAAAAGGGTTCTTCAGATTGATGGGGCTGTATATGGTTCTAAATAAGATCTATTGGAAAAGGATTCTATACAGCAGCAAAACGGGTTCTTCTATCGTTTCAATGTCAAGCTTGTTACAATAGAAGAACCATTTTTGGTGCTATATAGAACCATCTACAGCACATTCTCCACTGATCTGAGTGGTGCATAGAAACATTTAAGCATGCAAAGCGTTCTTTAAGTGTTCATGGTTCTATATAGAACATTTTCATCACAAACGAACCGTTAAAAGAGGCGTTTTTAAGAATGTATGTAGATATTAGAAGTTTTATGTATGTAGTTGTTGATTTTCAGTGTAAATACGTTACGGCTACAGACAAACTACTGCACATTTTATCGCATTTTGGGGGGAAAATGATAAAAAGTGACCTGTGCAAAAGGTAATTTCTTATTTTTTTTTCAATATGTAAGACCCCTTAAATAAATAAATATATAAATAAATAAATAAATAAATAAATAAAAATGTTCACATAAAATAAACACCAACAGAAAATCAACATGTCATTTGATCAGGAGTACACAAACCTTTGCACACGACTATGTATACACACACGCACACACACGCACACACACACATACACACACACATACACACACACACACATACACACACACACACATACACACACACACATACACACACACATACACACACACATCTATATATATATATATATATATATATATATATATATATATATATATGTGTGTGTGTAAGAAGAGGAAGAGGAAGAGTGATGTGATGTCTAAAGAGACACGGTTTAAAAATAACACTGAAATAATAAAATATTCAAAAATAATAAAGAAAGAAAATAACCAGTACGTTATCATATTCGAGCCTGTTCGAAAATTATGAGCGATCTAAAAATATTAAATAAAATGTAATACATTCTTTCCAGATCACCGACTTTACTATCATTATTATTATTATTATTATGATGACGATGATGATGATGATGATGATGATTTGTGTGTCGAAGCTCTTCTGCTGTGTTACAGGGTCTGAGCTCATCATCAGCTACGATTATTTTGGAAGAAAGGAAAATAAATCGAACCTGAATTTAAAGAGAATTTAGATTATTTTTCCTGCAGAGAGTTTTTAATTCAGCATAACTGAGATTTAATAAAGCAGAAACACTGTAAACACTGTAATCTGAGACTTTAATTCATCCAATGTTAAACTGGATTATTTACAGCAGGAACTGAATTCAGCTCTACATTCATATAAACAGTTTCACTGTGAACATCAGTGAGAGCGAGCACTGCTGATCAGGATTCAGATTCGATTTAAATATTATATCATTATCATATCTCTAATCGTAATGAATTAAAGTGTTCTATTTTATATTTATATGTATTTATACTTTTATTTTTAGATCTTAAATATACATTATTACTTTTATGATTTATCGTAACTTTCCCTTTTACCGTTATGTTTCATATTACTTTTGATCCCTTTATTATTATTAAGCATCATCTAATTATCTAATCTCTGTCTCCTGTTCTAAAATTATTATTATTATTATTATTATTATTATTATTATTATTAATACTACTACTGCTACTATTACTACAATTGTATTGTTATTACTATAATTATCATATTTATGGTGATATTAATCTCATCACAATTACATTTATTGTGTTATTTTTATTATTATTATTATTATTATTATTATTATTATTATTATTATCACATTATTGGTGTTATTAATGTGTTATTACTCACCTGTTGGCCGCCGCTCTGTCCCTCTGTCTCCGGTTCTTGAACCAGTTCCCCACCTGCGTGGCCGTCAGTCCGGTGGCGCGCGCCAGTTCGCTCTTGGCGCGCGTGTCCGGGTAGGGCTCCCGCAGGTAACTCTGCCGCAGCACGCGCCGGGCGCGCTCCCGGAAACAGTGCGCGCGCCGCTCTCCGTCCCAGACAGTGAGCGGCGGCGGAAACTTCCTGCGCACGCGGTACCGGTCCACCGCGCCCAGTGGCCGGCCGCGCGCGCGCTCGGCCTCGCGATAGCGCGCCTCGAGCCACAGGCGCTGCAGCGCGGCGCGCGACTCTGCGGAGCTGAAGCTGCGGCTCTGCGCGAGCCGGTACAGCTCGCCGTACTCTCCCGCGTGGAACGCCGCCACGGCGCGCGCACGCACCACAGCCTCAGGCTCGCGCTGCGGGTCCGCGGGGGGCAGCGCCCACAGGAAGCGCGCGAGGCGCGCCACGTCCCCACTCTCCTCCAGAGTCTCGCATACGCGCGCGACCTGCTGTGGGCTGAAGGAGAGCGTGGGCAGACGGAGCATCGGGGCACGAGAGGGAGAGAGTGGTGTGAAAGAGTGTGTGTGTGAGTGAGAGTGAGATAGAGACAGAGAGAGAGAGAGGGAGAGAGAGAGAGAGAGAGACAGAGAGAGCGTATGTGTGCGCGCGAGGAGGAACGGCCCTCCGGCTGGCAGGAGCGCACAGCTTTAATGCCACTATAAACAACCCCTTTACCGGGAGGGTGGCAGAGTGAGAGAGAGAGAGAGAGAGAGAGAGAGAGAGAGAGAGAGAGAGGGAGGGTAGAAAGAGAGTGAGAGAGAGAGAGAGAGAGAGAGGAGAGAGGAGAGGGAGAGAGAGAGAGAGAGAGAGAGAGAGAGAGAGAGAGAGAGGGAGAGAGGGAGAGTGAGAGAGAAAGAGAGAGAGAGGGAGGGAGGGTAGAGAGAGAGAGAGAGAGAGAGAATGAGAGAGGGAGAGAGAGAGAGAGGGAGGGTAGAGAGAGAGAGAGAGAGAGAGAGAGAGAGAACTACTAGAAGTCATGACATTTGACTGCTGTTGGATTAAGATGCTGTCCAACTAGGCAGCAGCTGTGCTCCAATAAACAAACTAGTGTTCTAGCACACTCAGCTAGTGTGTACTCGTCTTCTAGAGCGGAACGCTTAAAGCATAAAAAAGTGCACGGTATGTCTGACAGCATTCTGACTTGTGATTAGGCAACAGTCTCAAGCCTGGTCGACCAACCGGGAAAATCTGTCTGCAGCACAGAGAGTTTAACCAGTATTTCATCACGAGTTGAATTAAATACAAAAAACAGCGTTTTTAAGTGTGTAGATGGTTTTCTATTTAACTTTCACTGATTTTCATTGGGGGTGGCGCAGCGGGTAGCGCTGTCGCCTCACAGCAAGCAGGGCCTGGGTTTTGCTCCCTGACCCAGCGACCAGTTTCCTCCCACAGTCCAAAAACATGCAGTCAGGCCAATTGGACACACTACATTGCCCCCCTGTGTGTGTGTATGTATGTGAGAGTGAGAGAGTGTATATGTCTGTCTGTCTGTCCGCCCTGTAATGGACTGGGACTGGGTGTATCCTGCCTTCCGCCCAATGACTCCTGGAATAGGCTCCAGCTCCCCCCCAAGACCCAGAAGGATAAGTGGCTTAGAAAATGTGTGTGTCACATTACCAGCCTCATTACTCAAATCCGATCTCTCTGACATGATGGTTCACACTCGTTTAGGTAAGTGATTCAAATCTGTCATTAATGTGACGAATCGGCGTCCTGAAAGACCCTCATGAGCTCATCCTACTCAGTAACGTCACGTGAATGAATCACTGCATCATCAGCACAAACTAACGAGCAGAACGAGCTTCGCTGAGAAGATCATTAACTCTGATCAGCTCTCAGCTTCATTATTAGAGCGAGACGAAGGAGAAAAAGGTGAGATGAGCTGCTTTTCCACCGTTTACAGGCTTTAACTTCTGTTCGGCGCTGCTGCCATGGTAACGCTGAATGGTGGCGCAGCACAGTGGAGAAAAACACATGAATTCCGATCCGAGCGTCACATTAAGGTCACACGGCCACGAATCGGATACGTATCCGATCTAAGACCACATATGAAAGTGGCTCAGGTCGGATTTGAAAAGATCAGATTTGTGTCCACACAGCCCTGAAAACATCAGATCTGAGTCACATCAGGGCAAAAAATCAGATTTGTGCCACTTCAGCCTGGTAATGTGAACGCAGCCTAGGAACAAAAATAAAGGCGCTACACAGCAGCTCTACTCCAAATTTATATCCAAACAAAACAATAACTCATATGTTATGTAAGCTATGCTCAAACTTATTAAACAAGGTTTTGCTTTGTAAAGTTTGCATGGCTAGCTGATTAGCTCACTGAGGCTAATCTGCGGAGAATGTGTACATTACGTTTAAATAAACTGCACCATGTGGACACTTACACTGTCAGAAATAAAGGTTCTGTTCAGGTACGATTTTCGTTCATCAAGGTACAAACAGTGTAAATGTTCCCTCAAAGCTCCAACAGTGGTTTTAAGGTCTGATTGTGAACCTTAAATAAGTTGTTCCAGGTGAAAAGTTCTTATTTGTACCTTTTCATAACTGAATGTTTTAAACAGAACAGTAAAATAAAAGCCTGGAGGCGAGACGGGGTGTGTGGAGTCAGTACAGCTTAGAACATATCATTTCAGTGGATTATGGTTCAGTTATGTTCCCTGACTAAAGGTACTGAGATGGACCCTTGAGGGTCCCACCCCAGTGATGAGAGGGGAACTGACCCAGTGACAGTTTAGTACCTTTATTTCTGAGAGTGTATGAGATGCAATAGTGATGCACAGCCAAGTGGTGTGTCGAAGTGGACGAGTTAAAAAAGTAAAATTTAAATAGGGATCTGGTGATCAGACGTTCTGTTGAAGCATATTTGAGTGCATGGCACAGTGATGGGTGCTGGCTCTTTTGTGATTTAGAAACGGAGATGTAGCAGTATGTTTGTGTTACAGAAATACTGAGAAAGTCTCTGTTTTTAATGGAAAATCTGAAATCTGCACTGTGGTGAAACATCTGCCACAAATATCCATAAACATCAACACATATAATACAACCCCAATGTAGCAACTCCAGCTGAATGATGGTCAACTGGAGAACTGATGATTCATGAAGGTTTATTGCCTTAGGTTTCATGAATTCACCTAAGAGCTGGATTAAAATAACAAATAAAAAAGGGGGGGTTTGTAACCATTAGCTCGCCCAATCAAACTAAAGGTGATATTTTGACAAAGCATGTCTCACCTCTTAAAAACGTTCACAGAACTTAAGTTAGACCATCTATTTGTAAAATGCAACTAGAAAAACTTCACAGTCTCCTTAATATGTTAAACTGTTGGTGTTCAGGTCTGTGGGACCCATTTCCAATGTTTTTCAAAGAAAAACAAATGATGTGATTTATTATTATTTCAGCCTCAGATTCTTGGTCTTTGCTCATTTTCTGTGAAGAACATATAAAATAACCCATTTTCAGTGTCTTCACTCTGTTCACCCCCCACACACTTATATTACACATGTGGTGTTGGGTGAACCTGCGGGGAGTAAAAGTGTGGAGGTGCTTCACTCTGTTCTCCTCCTACATGGCCTGCTGTGTGTGTGTGTTTGTGAGGGTGGACAGAATGGACAGGCTGCTGACTGGCTACAGCTGCTAAAGGAGAACCCTACGCTGGACACATCTGATATTTTAAAAATCTGGTAAAAATCTGGTTTTACATAAATAGTTATGGCTGTATTGATTTAAATAAACTATAATGTGGTGGGTCCAGCAGACCACTGAGTAACAAACACAACACCACCACACAAGGGTTAAAGCCGTAAAACACAATATCTCTAACAATTTACAGACTAAACAAGAAACAGAAAACAATACAACAGCTTGACCTTGAATATCTGAAAAATTAACAGAACAATGAGGCTGAAGATTCACGGGAGAGTGGGCTCACATGGCATGGATCACCTAAGCACAGTATACACGACCACAGAAACGCTTTGCCAGTTCTTTGAAAGCTCTATGACTTAGTAAAATGAAGTTCTAATTCAAGTTATCAAGTTACCTTGTTCACCTTCCATGTAGGCGCTAAGTTTGCAGAGTTTTCAGAGAGGATCTTTCAGTGAGTCCGTCTCCATTAACCATGTTCTCCCTCCTTTGACATTTTACCTTATTAAGCTTGTTTTTTGTAAATATATCCTCATTCCAAATTTGATGCCTGCGACACATTTAAAAAAGTAGGGATGGGAGCTTGTTTACCACTGTGCTACATCACCTTTCCTTTTATCAGCGCTTAATAATCGTCTGGGGACTGAAGACACCAACTGATCCAGTCTTGAAAGCAGATTTTTTTTTAAACTTCATGCTGGTAACAATCTGGATGGTTCTTTACTTCTTCAGCCCAGAGAACACAATGTTCATTATTTCCTCAAACAATCTGAAAGGTTGACTCGTCAGAGCACAACACACGTTTCCACTTAGCATCAGTCCATTTCAGATTTGCTCGAGCCCAGAGAAGTCGGCGGTGTTTCTGGACGTTTCGTAACTTGCATTAGTAGATGCAGCAACAAACGATGTTTACTGACAGCAGTTTTTCAAAAAGTATCTGTCCTCACTCATAAAGGACTCGGCCTTTACTGGATGCTCCTTTTACATGCCTCACCTGTATAAGATGTTTTTTGAATATTTCACAACCTTCCTAGTCTTAAACTGCTCTGTCCCATATACAATGAGTGTATATTTACAAAAAACAACAAAGCTGATAAGATAAAATATTACATATCTTGTCTTTGTACTGTTTTTGTTGACATGCAGGTCAAAGCAGATTAATAAATCTCTGCTTTCTGTTTTTTTATTTGCATTCCACACACTGGGTCAACTTTTTTGGAATTAAGTTTGTAATAATGAGCCAACCAAGAGAACTTAACCATTTAAATCAAGCGCTTTTTTGGATGAAGGAGGTCTTTAACAAATGTGAATGACTTCCACGTTGGGACTAATGCTGTGGGTGCACAGCAGATGGTGGAAAATATCATGAGAGAGAGGAATGGAGACAGTAAGATGATTACAGTGGTCATCTAATCCATTTCATTACAGTTTATAAGGGCAGAACAACAATAAACGGAGGATTTCCAGGCAACGTCAAAACACAGGGGCCATGTTGATGTATTTACAGTTCTCTTTACAGTGGCCTCGCTGTTCTGATCTATACTATACGAACATCTATCTGTACAGACAGTATCAGTCTCACCTTCAGCTCGACACGACACCCATATCTGACCCCTGCGTGAACTACAGCTCTCCACACGACAGCCTGCAGGAGTTTGTTCAGCTTGAATCCGGTGCGTGTCCTGTGGTCAGAGGATTAACTTTCTAATTAAGATATCATGTCTGTGAGCGGCGGAGTGGCCTGTAATACTGACCTGTCCCACATAAACCACTCATACACTCCTACAACACAAAACAGCTAGCGTCCACTTCAGTCCAGTTCAGTTCAGGCCGAGGGGGTAAGAT